ACAGCGGGCAGCAATCAGCTGGCCGCTGTCTGCCGTACGAGCCCACGAGTCCTGACCAGCCCACAGCCAACCTACACGCCCGGCACCCGCAACCCTCGACACCGTGATCCGATCGCAGCGCAGCGCAGCGCTGCAAGCCCATTGCAGTATTGCCGCCCGCCCGCCCGCCCGCCGGCTATCTCGCTGCTCCCTGTTCCTGGACGGCATCGCCCTCCGAGGAGCCCTCCTGGCCACTCGTCCTGCAAACGGGCATTTTAGCTTTCGTCTGCTCCCAGCTCCCGGCCTGCTGGCTCCATACCCAGATAGCTCGTTGCAGCCGTCAAAGTTAGAGTGCACTCGGCTCTGCGTAGGCTCGCGGAGCAACATCCCTCAAGACTAACATAGCTTTGCTTCGACCGTTAGGTCATGCCAATTCGCTGTGCCTGCACCCTTGCGCTGCCTCGCCTTGCTTACTGCGATTCACCCAGCTCAACGGAGGCCATGTCGCGAGCCTGACCTGCGCACGCCCGCCCGCGAAAGCATCCCCGGCTGCCCACGACGTAGTAGCTCTCAGCCTTGACCGCATGGCTCGAGGCCTTGCATTATGGACTCCAGGAGACCACCTTACGCAGTAGGCCCTCCTCCCTCCAACAGCCACGACCCGCGCGCGCCGCCACCAGTACCACACTTCCAGCAGCATCACCAGCAGCACCAGCAGCACCAGCATCCACACGGCCCTCCACCACCGCCGCCGCCGCCGCCGCCGCCGCCGCCGCCGCCGCAGCACCAGCAGCACCAGCAGCACCCTCAGGGCCATCCGCCGCCCGCACAGGCTCAGGCGCAACAACCACCAGCGCAGCATTACCAGCAGTATCAGCATCCAGCGTCCTACCCGCCGCCGCACTCGGGCGCAAACACCATTCCTGACAAAGGACCAGCGCTGCCGCCCATCCAGTCGGCGGCGTATGCTCCTCCTGGCTCTTCGGCAGAGCAGCAGCAACCTCTGCCTTCCTTCAGACAGCCCTCTGCGCCGCCGTCCCACGACCCGCGCGAACCTGCACCGCAATATCATCCAGATCCATACCACAATCGCTCCGGCCATGCCACACCGGCACCCGTGAACAGGTCATACTCTCACGATTCTGGGCAACAACGCACGCCCGCAACGCCGACTGCTCCACCTCCACTCTCTCACCAACAAGGACCAGAAGGCGCGCAACAGGCGCCGCCCGGTCCTCCACCTCACTCCCAGCCCATGGAGCATGGGCACCCGCAGTATCCACCGCCTACCAATGGCGTCCAACATCATGGCTTGCCACATCCACAGTATGCCATGACGCCCATGATGGAACAGCACCACTCGTATCCGCCACCAGGACAGCCGATGTACCAACCTCAACAGACTTACGGGCCAGCGTCAGCCAACATGTACGGTCAGAAACGGAAGCAAATGCGTGCGACGCAGGTGCGTGAAGTATATTGACTCAATCTTGACTTCACTGACACGTCTCAGGCCTGCGAGCAGTGCCGGCAACGCAAACAAAAATGTGACGAAGGCGCTCCGTGCTCGTTCTGCAAAGAGAACAATCTGTCGTGCCAATATAGAGATACGCCACCCGCCAAGTACGTGCTCAGGTGCACTTTCTTTCTGACAAGCAATGGAAGCACTGATAAATCGACAGGACCGACAAGAACATGGACAAACTGTTGCACTATATGGAAAGTCATACACAAGGCCTTGCGGATCTAACGGCCAAGATTGATCGCTTTGAAGAAAGAATCCGACGCGTGGAGCAAAACGCCCAGCAATCTCAACAATCAAATCATATCAATCAGTCTAATTACACAGTGGGTGGCGCTGAAAACGAGGTCTCGGGCGCCGAAAATGAAAGAATGATCGAAGATGCCCCGCGGCCAAACCGAAAAGCAGACTGGGACGACCATCGCACAGCGCCGCATAAGTTGCTTCTACTGTGGCCGAGTGTCCGGCCTCTTCTTCGAACGGCAGGAGTCGAGCACAATGACGGATATGTCATGGAGGCCGAAGACCGAGGCGTGCTCAGATTATGGACTCGTGGCGAAGGAATCGATGAGAACGATGGCACGCAGCCTGGTGGACCTGCAAGTCCTGCTCGAAGCGACGAAAGTGGCGAAGCAGGCAACGCTGCGACACCACAAGCTGATGGAATTTGGGGCATAGGTTTTCCATCGACACCGAGTAGCGACAGGAGATCGGAACCTTGCGGCGCCGGTGGTCTTAAAGCGAACGGCGAAGTCGACCTGGACGCGAGCACAGTCAACATGCTCTACGACAGCTACATGCGCAACCTGCACATCATGCATCCTTTCCTCGACAAGAAGCGATTGCGAAAGATGTTCGACAACTTCATCAAACGCTACAGCACTGGAAGGCCTCGTGCAGCCTTTGCTGTGGGGAATGATTACTCAGAGCGACCACTGAAGCGACAGCGATCCAATGGTTCGACGGCGAACATTCCTGGTACTGGCTCCGATGGCGAGACGAGACGGGAGCCAACTGAGCGCTCGCCTGGAAATGCAATCATCTACCTTGTACTGGCCTTGGGCAAGATTTGCATGCACAAGAATCCTCTTCCTCCCCCAGTGCCAGACAGCAAATTGCAGTCCAACAGCTACGTCGCGCACGAAATTCGTGGCATGACAGCCTGTTCCCCAGTATCTGTGAACATCAAACCGTCCCCAATGTCACCGAAATCTACACCGACCACGCAGCCCACGCCTCCCTCGGAGGCGAATCTACGCATGCACGATGCTCGAAGTCGACGCTCATCAGTAGATGGATCGCCGAGTTCTACACCAGGGCCGAGAAATCTGGATGTTGTGCCAGGTATCGCCTACTATGCCAAAGCTGCTGAGATCCTCGGTGACCAGGGCGATGGTAACGACCTCGTTCACGCTCAAATGTTCCTCCTCGCAGGTCTTTACAAAGGCCAACTTGCCCGAGTCAAGGAGAGTATGAGCTGGATCACCATGGCTGGGCGCGCTTGTCGCATCTTGCTAGATCGGTACAAGTTGTACAACGACACATACTGGGGCGAATACGGTGGACTTCGCGCGACCTACATGAGCTCGCAAGCGCGTATCAAGGATACGCGACAAAGTTTGATCGTCCTTGCCTCCTGGACGTGCCTGCAGTTGGAAAGCGACATCCTTGCAGAACTGCGGCTGCCCGATAGTGGAATTCAGAAAGTGGAGTCTTTGCTATTGATGCCGCACAAGATCAATGACAACGAGACATACGTTGGCCTCGAAACAGATGGTCAGCCGGAAGACTACAACAACATTCTAATCTTCTACTCGGCGCAGATGTTCATCCGACGAAGACTGAACCAAGTGCACCGAGAAATGTACGGCAAAGACTCTCTCGATCAGCCACTCCTAGCCGTGCAGAACATGCTCAATGAGCACGAGAATATCCTGGTGCAGTGGAGGAACGGTTTGCCGGACTTCCTGGCATGGAACGATGACGATCCACCGCCTCAAGACATCCTCTCAGCGCGCCTACGGGCCAAGTACTGGGGAGCGCGCTACGTTATCAACCGGCCATTCCTCGATTACGCGCTACACATAATGCCGCACGTTCGCGACGGACAGACCGTTGAATCGGTCGCAAGAGACGGCTACGGCAATCCACGCGACAAGGCCGACATTCATCTATTCAAAGCGATCGAACAGCTGGGCGAGCGCCAAGTCTGGCAGGCTGCGAAACGTTGCATCGATGCTGCAATGCATAGTACCGTTGCGTTTGACGGCGTTCCGGATCGCTTGATCGTCACCAACATTCACGGCACGGCACATGCGTAAGTTATCCTTGATCTTTACGGCCTGGCGTTACTAACAACTGATCACAGTCAATTTGGCAATATGCTTGTGCTGTCCGCTGTCTACAACAGCGAGTATATGAAGACACTGGTTCCAGAACACAAGTTCAAGAGACTTCTACAACGAACGATCGGTTTCCTGCGAAGACTGTCGCCGATTTCGCCGACGTGCTCGGCGGATTGCGTGATTCTCGAGAAGTTCCAGCATACTCTGTTCGGAGTCGGCGAGGAATTGAAAGGCGTCTACGCGAACGAAGGCGTGGAGCCGATGAGTGCCTCGAATTCCTTTAGTGCTCCTAGTAGCTGATCTCCAACGGTTCTGCGACAAGTTCTCGTGACGAAGATGCTGTCCTCCGTCATCCCCTGTTGCAAAGCTATCCGGCCCTGCGCAATACCGAATTATGGCCGAGCCAGGAAACCTCGACATGTCAGCATCAGCATGTCTGGATGAGATGGCGGAGTCCACGCTCCGAAAGTCGAAGGACAAATCTGCACCGGCGCATTCCAGGATCATTGCACGAGGTGTCGCCGATGAATGTACCTCATCGGCCAAAGACTACAACTCTGGACGCGCTCCGATCCACTTATGAGACAGGTCATATATTGGCCACCACACACATCTCACCTGCGATGCAGCGCCGGCAATCGCGGCTTTTTCTATGACGTTTTGCATTATTGACGGCGTTTCAACAACCAGGGCGGCATTATCAGATGTCGAACCATTTATGGGTATGTGGTCAACATCTATGGGAGGCTAGCGCTGTAATCTTTCATTCACTTTTTCTCTTGTTGTAAAGCATCGATTTCACTCGCAAAGCGATATACCAGGCTCTCTATATGCCATTGCGCCGGGCGGCTTGGGTTCTGTTTTACCAAGCCTGGTCCGACAGGAGGGACCATGGATTGGGGAGAAGGGAGAGGATTCTTTGACGTTTTTGTTGTTGCAAACGAAGGAACCCGATCCTCACGAAGGGAAACGGCCGCGCAACAATGTGGATTGTACAGTATTAAGGACGAGCTTTTAGCAATGGTAACCAGACAGGCGAGAATGTAGTGCGCAGTATCTGAGACGTGACTCTTCCATCCGTCTTTTCCCTTCCGCGGCGTCTTCCTCTATGGCCCTCTCGCCTTATATCGTCATGACTGGCCCTCGGTGATGTCAGGATTTGTTACAGATCTCGACTCCCTTATGACCTACATACTACTACCTGTGCGACACTACTGAAGACGGGAGCCAGGTGACCGGGTGCAGTGATCCGTTCATTTGGCACCGGCTCGCGTTTGCTGTACGAAGGTTCGCAGCGCTCCGGCCAACCTCCAACGGTTCACCACTGTGAGGAAGTGGCTTTCTCATCACACTCCCACTACAGAGAGTGTCATCTGCATACAAGAAGCCGCCTTACGAAAGAATCCTTCAACTTTCCTTTGCCTGGCAAATTTGATGTACATCTTTGATCCTTTGCTATCGAGAAAAGCACAGATTGCAAAGTGGCTCCGGACCGGCTTCCTGTATGCAGGTGACATTCTGTATGTATGTGCCGAGCTCAGTGGCGTTCGTTCCCTGTGTAGAAGGAATACTGCTTGCTAGAAGAGGGAAACGCATCGTGGGATGGCTCCCAGTTGCCAAGTTGGCGGGAAAGCTAGGGACCTTTAGAAATGGTTAATCTGGCTACCGGCTTCCACATAAGCGCTGGCTCGTGACCGTTAGGTAAAGGATTAATGTAGCGCTTTTTACGGACCTTTAGAGGAGGCCAATTTGTATACAATTGAAAGCGGTTTAGTATAGTAAGGAGCCCCTATTCTAGACCTTCTAAGGGTATAGACCTTAGCTATTATAGACCTATAGATAGTATAGTATACTAAACTATAGAAGCTAGAGCTATTATTATAGTTGCTATAGCTACTATAACGGTCGTTACTATTACGAGTAAATATCTCGAGGAAGATAGTAGTAATAAGGACTAATAGGTATAAAGAGAGGGACTAGAGGGTAAATCTATATATAAATAGTAGTACCGCTAGTTAAGGCGTAACCGACTATTTAAACTAATAAGAGTCTATAGGAACGGCTATATAACTAGACCTTTACTTATATAATAAGTAGATATTACGTAAGGGACGATTAGTAGGTCTATAATAGTATAGTATTAGTAAGGTATCTACGGTCCTACGGAAGTATATATAGGCCCGGCGTTCTATACCTACCGTAATAGCACCCCCGTCTAATAGAACGAAAGCTAGCGTACTAAGATAGCTATACCCGTACTCCTTCCTTCTATCCTCCTTACCTAAAGTATCTTATATAGCTTATGCCTTTTTATATATATTAGGGTATCTCTACCTCTCTTCTTTAGTCTAAATCTCGCCTTCGTATTATATTAGCGTCTACTAGTTATAGTGTTACTCGTTAGAGTTAACTAATTCTAGTTCCGTCTTAGAGCTAGTAGCCTTAGCCTTAGTAGCCTTGCCTTCTATAAAACTCTATAATTTGCGTATCTTTTTCTTTATAGACGAGTCGCCGTCGGCCGCCTTACGCTTAGATATACGCGTACCCGCGGTCTTAGCTAGGCTAGCCTTAGCTTAGCGCGTACCTATTAGCTATATAGGGATCTTTAGTAGCGATAGCTAGGGCGCCTTTATCTTAGTTATTAGCGGCATCTATAAGGTAGGTAGCTTTATAGACAAGGCGAGCTTGTCCTTAGTTACTACCGCGTACTTAGACTTTCGGGATAGGCCTAGCGTCGGTAGCTACGGCGCTAGTGCCTACGCTAGTATAGCGCGATTCTTCTATAGAGGCTAGCTAGGCTCGTCTATTGCTACTATACTAACGTAGGTCTTAGCTTTTACTACTATAGCGAGCTTATCTAGAATATATAGGTACAGATCGGCTTACTATTAGGGTATAAGCGCTCTATAGCGTCTAGCGATACCTTTTAGTCCTAGTCCTCGATAGAGGGAGATAGGGTCGTCGTTTTCCTTATTATAGTTATATAGGATATCGTTTAGGCGTAGCGTCGCGTCCTTCTTATAGGCCGTTCTTAGTATCTAGTCTCGATCCTCTCGTAGTATATAGCCTATTTATAACTATAGGTACGCTATTCGAAGGAAGTAGTCTAGAGCTATGTCTATAATACCGGCGTCTGCCTTATAGTTAAGGGCTGCTTTTATATTCTCTAAGACGTAGTCCGGCACCGCGACGATATTAATTTCTATAGCCTACTCTACCTAGTCGTCCTTAAAGGTTAGCTATCCGGCCGAGATAGCCTTTAGCTACTTACCGTAGAGCGGATATACTAGATCCTTACGGTATTTCTTCTAACGCTTCTACTAGTTACGTGCGGCTATTAGCGGCTTCGTCTTACTAGGGATGTCTATCGGGACCTAAGAGATTATCGCCTAATCTAGGGCATTGTCGATAGAGGTAACCTAGACTTAGTACGCTGCCTTACGCCGGAAAACTATACTACCTATAAGGATATACCGGCTATAGATTAGAGCGATCTTGTGTTTGCCGTTAGTATTTGCTATATAGTATAGGTATAGAGAGCCGATTAGCTTACGTTTAGTACGTAGGAAGCCGTACGCTTCTACTAAGTAGGTATACTAGGTACCGAGCTCCTTTATCGAGATTGTAGCGTCGTCGATTATTTAGAATATATTGCTAAGCTTAAGGTCTAAGAGTCGCGTATTTGTAGGTAGTATACAATTAATCGTAATAAAGCCTAGTACATTATAGATTAGCACCGTAGTATCGGCCTAGTAGCTAGACTTAAGCTATTACTCGATATTAGAGTATTATATTCCGGAACGCTATAGGTAAGTGTCGTTATCTATATTAGTAGCGCCCCGACGAACCTTCTTATCTATTAGCGTACGTACGCTTATCGGGGTAGCGATTTATACGCTCGTTAGCGTAGCGGTTATAGCTAACGATAGGACTAGGACTTCGATACTTATAACTCGCGTAGGTACCTCTTCCTCGTCGATATCTATCGGTACGTCTTCCGGAACCTCGTCGTTTGTAGCTTATATAGGCGCTTCTTATCGGTAAGATAGGCTAGCGTCTCTAGGGCCTAGGTCGGGGGTTGCCTCGCGTAATAGCTATAGCGTAGCGTTCTGTCCGAGGAAAGGTAGGAAAGTGCCTTCCTCTATATTGCCCTTATTTATAGTCTATACTCGATAAAATATTACTACGAGCGAGCTACGTAGGTTAGAGCCTATAGGAGGATCGGTATATTCTACTAAGAAGTCCTTATATCGCTATTATATAGTATTGTCCTTATAGGTGCGTCTCGTAAAGCTAAGTTCTCGTACTAGGTTTAAGACAGTATAGGTCTAGCGTACTATATCGTTAACCTAAACTAGGCGGTCTATAGCTAAGTCGTCCTTACGTATAGCATTAATAATTGCCGCTATAGCTGCCGTAAAGGCGTAGCTTGCCGCGCGCTAACGTGCGCCTAACGTAGTAACTGTATTATATACCTCTTAGCTAATATCGAGGGAAGCTATAGGAAGGCGCTTACGACGAGGCTTTAGTAGGGCGTTATCGTTATCGTCTCTGTCGGAGCTATTTTGTTCGCCTTCGTCGTTCTACTTGCCTCCGTTGCGCTACTTTGCCTTACCTAGCGTAGTTAGTTGCGTCTTGTCCTACTATTACTTAGTAGGGTATTGCTACGAAGGTGCTACCTTATCTCGAGCGGAGTCCCTAGTAGTAGAGCTCTTTACTAAGTATATAGTAATATTGTATCTATATATAGTACTAAAGGCAGGCTTAGTATTACGTAAGAGTGCGGCTCTACGGCTAAAGGTGCTAAGCTTATAGACGTATATACTATTAGCGTCTTATTTACGGATTAGGTTAGAATTGCGGATTAAGTCTAGATTTAAGCCTACGTTAGTACTATTAGCGTTAAGGAATTCCTTAGTATATTCCGCGCTCTTAGTAGTATAGAGGTTTAGGAAGGCTAACTAAACAGCGTCTATAACCTAGCGTATAGTTATTAGGGCGTCGGCGTAGATAAGGATAGCGTTTATCGCCTTACTCTAAAGTTCGTCCTTGCCTTTATTATCTAGCGGAGCGGGGCTATCGCCGTCCTTAGCTCTAGCGTTACCTATACTAATATCCTTTTCTATAGCCTTCTCTTTCTATGTCTCCTACTACTCTTTCTCCGTTACGTTCTCGCTATCGATATCTATCTTTTCTACGTCCTATTTTCTATCTACGCTTACTTTTCCTACTTCCTACTCTTCTACTATAATAGTATCCTAATACGTCGCGTCGTTAGTAGCTAAGAGGTATATAGGTATTCCTCTAGGGCGTAGGGCCGCCTTTCCCTTAGGGCGCTTAGTAGCTAGCTCTAAGGCGCTTATATTAGCGTTAAACACTATAGCGTCGCGTACTATAGGGGCGTCTAAGGAGTATTAATATTAATCTATAGCCTCGCCGAGACGCTAAGGAAGGTCCTTATCGCCCTATATCTATTCTTAATTATTATAGTAATCTATTTACAAAGTATTAGGCTTAATTATCTCTACGATCTTAGTAGGACTATATACTAAAGTTAGGGTGCGCTCCTTCTAGTATCGGTATTCCGTCTAAAATCGCGTAGAGGCGGTACGTTACCTAGAGTAGGCGTCTAGCAAGTTAGTACTATCGAACGTAATTAGATCGACGGGCTCGAGTATAATAATCTTTTCTTATACTTTTACGTATATCGCGGCTATCTATTACTAGACTATCGCTTCTACGGTAACGTCCTATTCTTCCTTAAACTAGCCTAGCAAGTTATAGCAATTAGTAGTCTAACTAAGGCGCTCGTCGGCCTGCTCTAGCGTTTCGTTTTCTAGACTATCTACCGTATATACTATAATCTATATAATCTATACGTATACGGATATAAGGTTTAGCTCGGTCTCGTCCTAGCCTAGTATACCGGTAAGGATCTCGTATAGCTTATCTAGGGCGTTCTTTGCGAAGCCGTAGCTAGCTAAGGCGCTTATAAGTTAAAAGGCGGTCTAGGTATAGGGCACCGCGAAGGGTATACTATTTCCCTTATAAGACGTTAGAGTTAGGTTAAGTCTA